GAATGGGGACAAGGAAATCAAAGACGACACAGATCTCCAAAAATCCAGAAAAAAAAAAAAAAGATATGTGTCGTGTTTGTCCGCCTTGTCCCGACTCTCGAGGGTTAAAATGTCTAAAAAAACATCGTAGGGCTAGTTTATGCGGTCCAACCATAAGTAGCAGAATATCACTATACATGTTACAAAACATTTTTGGGACAAAAACAAAAAGAGGCTGCTTTAGCTATTCGCAACTTTAACGACCTATAAGGGGCGCGCTGGTGCCTACCAAAATGACTGTCATCTGGATCATCGTCGTAGAACAGCAATAAGAGGCATAGTCTGCGACGCGTAATTAATTCTAGTTTTGCTTTATACTGGCGGTCATAGTTTATTTTTCCCGCCAGGAACGTGTGGGCAAGCACCTTTTTTTGTGAAGCGGACCATCCAGGAGCTAGGGAGCACGATTTTCACTCTGCGGTACCACCATCGCTGAAATTTGCGAATAATGATATCGCTCAATATCACGTCCTGCGGCGGACCTTAGACGCATCGTTTAACTACAATCCATATTCCCCATATGGGTAGTTCACTATAAACGAGCTTAGCATACGGAAATTAGTGAATGGAAAAACAAAGAGAGCCCACAGCCATGACACTCGTCGCGCCTTCTTCTATTAGGTTGCGTTCAGAAAGGCACTCAACGTTGGGAGACGCTTTGTTGACATTTGGAGGGGTCATCGTACTCGTTGTTTCCTGTCCTGTTTTCTGCTTATCAATGCCCGCATACAGACAGTGTTCGCGAAAGCAATAAGTGCCGGACTGACGACAAAAAAAAAAAAAAAAAAGAAGCCTCGGCGTTTTGCCGTAAAAAAATCAAATAAGCAAGCAAAAAAAAAAAATCACGTTTTCTTGTGTTTATTTTTTTATTTCTTTTAGCTGTTATTTTCTTGACACTGAACTCTGGATTGTTGTCGTAGGTCGTTTTCGGTTCTGCGCTGCGCCTCAGCATGGCAATCTTTATATCCGTAAAACCAGCCCTTTTGTTTGAGGATTTTTTTCGGGGGAAACTCTACAAAAAAAGGCGCCTTTGGGAAGGCGGGGGGGGGGGGGGGGAGGGATATTCATTGTACGAACTTTGGTGCGAAATATGAGTCAAAATCGGCACAAAAGCGATGTTTTCACGAGCTCAATCTAAGTCATCGGAGCTTATCGGAGCTAGCAAAAGGATCTGGTTGCTCGAAAGAATGTTCAAGTTTGCTCGTTCCGCGCCCACGCCACCTCATACCGAAAAACTCGGAAAATGGCGGAATGTCAAAAATGTATTTGAGATTATGAGTAAAAGATACTCAGAAATGTAATTAAAATAGATTATTAAATACTCTCCATCAAACGTATTTGCAAGATAACAAGATACTTCCAAAAATATTTGGAATACAGTATCTTGAGCAGAGTATTTGAGATAGGCCCAGGTCGGTATCACTATTCACTACCTGTTTCTAGGTGACAAGTTCGACGGAGCGGCGTTTGCTCTGCCTTTTGTCGCTGGACAGGAAGCCTAGAAAGTACATACATAAATTTCGCGTATGTAAGAGACGACGTCTCGTGAAGATAATGAGTCATTCCGATGCGGGACGTTCTGTCTGTAGGAGGAGATATGAAGAGATCCGGTTGGGTCTCCTGGATGGGGCCGGCACGTGGCAGTCCGCACTGCACTGTTCACAATTTTCGTTTCTTCGTGGAGCTTCGTGCGAGGTTTAAATAAGAGTGACTCCTTTCAGGGCTCAATCTTTCGAGCGCACCGCTTCTGGATTCATCAATTGTGGCTAGCATCTCTAAGTGGAGTGCTCCCTTGAATATTGAGGAAGACAACGGGATTTCAGTTATATCACTCAAAAGAGGATGAACTTATCCAATGGACTTATCGTTGGGCAGTCAGAGACAGCTTCATAATTGAGACAATTTACCGAAACGTAAAAGGGCTAACAACCCCACCCTCAAAAAGCAACTTCTCGGCTCATTTTAAAGCTATGCTGCTGTCAGGTTGTTACACACTGCGTCTATTCAATGACTCATTCATATGCCTTTCGTACAGGACAGTGTATCAGGCTCTGGAGCTTTCACGAATTGGAGTTTAGCCCCTGAAACGAGAACAGGTCACATTTGATGTGGAGTTATTAACTCTTTGCCCGGCTGTACCTCCAGTAGCAGTATATCGCTCTATAAAATATACTACGGTGCACACGAGCTTAAGGTTAGAGAGTTTTAGTACATTGTACCCTACGGAAAGCGGGCCCAGCGGGTGTGTGCTCAACCCATGCTCCGAAGTGACGGTACGAACTCCCGTTAGCAAAGCGGTGCTCTGGTGTAAGTTCTACTAAAAGTCCCTATTGTTTTGACTGCGTGGCCGCTATGGTAAAACCATAGCCTCCTCTATACGCTATGGTAAAACATATTGAAGCTCTGCTGAAGTAACCCTAGCTTTAAAAACCCATCGTACTATACACGGATCTCCAATACGGGTTGTAAGAGGTCGTGTATGCGGACCCTTGTTTCTTGCTTTCCTTGCCTTCTGTGTATTCACCAGATAGAACAAGTTATGAGTACAGTTTTTCTGTCCTTCCACACTCACAATTTTGAAAGTTCCGGGGAGTGTTGGTTTTCTTCTTTACCAGTTTATTCACGCTCAGTGTTTTGCAGGATACGTTTTCGATTCGCACTGGCACTTACCGCGTTTTGTTTGTCAATAAAAGTTCATTTTCTGCAAAGCTATGAAGACAATAAAATAGAGTACCGGGATTTTTTTTTTAACAAAGCGGAACTCGGCATCGATAACCTCCTAAACTGGGGAAGGCACATGTTCATAACACTGCATGTTAATTGAAGCTATCGGAGAAACCCGTCATAATATAGGGTGTATATTTCATTTGTCCACGAAGTATAAACGCCATGGACAACGTTGGAAGTAACATTTACTTACAACCAATTGAAATGTATCATGTATTTTTTTTTCCTATTCTAGGTTTACCCTGTTAACAGTCCGGCGATTACTCGGGTACTCATTTATGAAAAACCGATAAAACGTTATTTGACCGTGAAGGTTTAGAAGGGTCTTTATAAAAAAAAATGAAGTCTTCCTGCCATTCTCTTCGCACTGCCTCAGAAGGAAGAAAATTGTCTGTTTTTAGTTTGATATATATATATATATATTAGAACCAAAATTAAATATAGAAGCTGAATAATCTACACTCCAAACATTCAGGTGCTTCTACTTTCCCGCAAAGCACGTAAAACAGCCAATCACTGCAATCCACGGAAGGAGCTTGGTGAATGTCGGGACTGAAAAAAAAAAAATTTTAAACCAAAATAAAAACAGACGGTATTGTGACTGATCAGGACGTTTCCTGCTCATATGCAACCCAATGCGGCATATTGCCCCTTTCGGCTAGCACTAAACTGGAACGGCTTACATTGCCGCTGCCTGGACCATGGATGTCGAGTACCCATTCATTACCGCGTTTACATTTTGTGCGGAATAAGCTAAATGATTCCAACCGAGAAACCTGCCATCGAGCCGGTCTTGTCGGTCACCTGTTTCTCGGAACAGAATGCGAAATGCAGTCTAACTCGTTTCTTTATTGCACTCCTTGTTTTCTTTATCTCGGTCCATATATTTTCACGCAGATATTAGCGCGTTCAGGCCATGAGCTGTTTCGGCTCACATTACGTCACAGGACGTAATGGAAGAAAACGTAAATGCGTCCAGTCGGGCACACTGGTTCACAGTCATACCAACTGGTCGATGACACGCAATCAAGCACGCAGCGCGTGTGTGTGGCTCCCTCAGTATTTCACTTGCAGAAACCGTCATCTTCGAGACAAAGTAGACTGAGGATTACGCACATTCACCACAGTATTAATACGTTCTCCAATTGCCCCAACATTGGAGGCTCTGTTTATGAGCAACGCCTGCGCGTTCACTCTTCCACGGAGCATACGGATAGCCTATTGTCACGATAGACAGTGGGTACCAAGATACGTTCAATACAGAGATAAAGTCCTCACATGAATATGTTTCATTGATCCCAGTGGCTGGTGGTATTCGCTGTGCTCTGACAGGCGCGCAATGTATACTATGGTCAAATTACAAAATAACCGCCTTATATGGCGCTGTGCTATCCTAGCATCATTCGTTTTTTTTTTATTTTTAACACTGCTCGGTGGTTTGTGATTTTACGCATAATATAGTCATGACGATGATTCAATAAATCCAAAGGTGCTTGCGAGCTGGACAAGACTGACGATAATAATCCCCGGAGAAGGGGAACAGGGGCGACAAAGAAGAAACACAAATACCCAAACACAGCTATGTGACTGGTACACGACCGCGCACCAGAAAACTAGCTCGCTTGCACCTTTGCATTAATTGCATTATCGTCATATATTCCCTTAAAATGCAGGCCGTTCACCCTTGTTGGTGTTAGATTAGTGACAGCTGATAAAACCTTGCTTTACTGACGTCTAGCTCCAGGTTTGCTCAGTTGTAGAGCGCTCCACCTGGAAAGGAGAGGGCCCTGGTTCGATACCAGGTCCAGGCGGATTTTTTTAGCCGCGCATCAGACATCTAGCTGTGTTTGTAGATTTGTGCATGTCCTTTGTCCCCCTTGTTCCCCTTCTCCAAGGAGATGCGTCCCACTAATGTTATTCTCCGTTTCACACTAATTCGCAGTCGACACCACGGTCCGATGCTGCCAATCGATCAGCGTCAAAAGTGCTTCGTCACGGCCTTAGTGCGTTTGCTAATCTCCGGCCAATGACGTATTATGAGTGCGCCGTAATCATGCGCTTTTTTTTCCCTGCGCGATGTTTAGCCATTTACAGCAGAGGCGCACAAATGAGGATTGCGGTCTGCGCTCAGACTTGAAGTGGAACGAAGTATAGTGTAATGTTTTCGACACAAGTCACAGTGACAACGTTTGAGATCAAAACCTGCCTGACCCATGACGTGTCTCTCTTTACAGCTCTGCCTTGTCTTCACACTCTTCCTCTGCATATCGGCCCTGGGAGCACCCGCTACCAAGGCCCTGACAGAAGCAAAGGACGAGATCGTCCTGGTAGAAATCCACCAGGACCTCCAGTCGGCCTCCGAAAGCCCGGTGGCGGTGGACCTGACTAAGACGGTCGTGAGCACCACGACCACCGTCAGCACCAGCAGCAGCAGCGCCGCGACGTCTTCGGCTCCGACGAGCACGAGGGCGCCCGCGTCGGGCTCTACGGTCTCGACGTCGGCGTCCGACATAGTCGTGGTCAAGGACACCTCCAAGTCCAGGAAGGTCGAGACAGTGCCACTGAGCGAAGTGGAAAGCGACTCGAGCACGTTTCACCTCCTGGACGAGTTCATGGATTATGGCGGACAGAACCTCACTTCCGGCGAGAACGGCTACAAGCTGGGCTATACCGTAAACGAAGGGAATTTAAAGAAGTTCAGGTACGAAGAGAGAACGCCAGAGGGCGCCATTGTGGGAGAGTTCGGGTTCCACAAGAACGACGGAGTCATCCGCGGAGTCCGGTACTCGGCGGAGCCCGGAGTTCATCCCAAGGTGCTCTACGAGGCACTCGTCAAGTTCTTCACTCTGTGAAACCCTCGCGAGTGTATTTGTGGGGCTATGCCGACCTTGTGGATTCCGGCGACAGGGAACGAATGGAATGGCACAGACGAAGCCAATCTCAGTCTTCTTCGTAACGATAGGAGGAACGAACCAGGAGATTACGCAAAAACCGAAGGAATGGACCCGAGTAACGATGTTTATGGGCAGATGTTTTGTTGGCAGGTGAAAGCAACACTTCCATGTTGTCCTGTTTGGAATGTGTGAGTTCGCCATATGCATATAGGTGTAGCAAAAAGTGTCCTGTCACCGTGCACTGCTGCTCCTCTGTTCGTCTCTTTGCTGGGCAGGATGAAGGAACAATACTTCATTTTTTTGCTGAAAGCAAACGATGACGTACGCGAGGAAATAGTTGCTTTGTTGGCACCTGTGTTTCACCTTGGCCTGTAATAGACTGGGATAAGTGATCTCAAAGCAACAATAAAAAGCTCGTAATAACTCAGGGTTAGTTATGACTCGTGTGCTCTAAAATACCGTTGTTCTATGTTATGCGCGTGTTGCTCTCATTCACTGTCAACCTAGCCAACAGCCCCTAGTAACTGTACCTGTATTTGCCGCCTTAGGCGCTACTGAACCTTTTAAGAATAGTTTACTGCGATAGAGTCACTTATACTGAAGGGTTGTAGGATCACTTTGTGGACACAGTATTATTTATGACTCTGGTCAGCAATTTGTAGACTAAGATATAACCAAATAAGGTATGCTCAAATGCGCTGAAGTTATTTAATGGATTCCTCATTCAGACATAAATCCTGAAATAAGTGGCATATTGTTTTATTGCAATAGACTGGGTTAGCATTATGTCTCGTGTTTTTTTGTAACAAATGATTTAGACAGTGAAGATTTGTAACGTTGAGGTTACGGTTGATGCATGCCTTAAATACCAAGAACATTGTTACTGGATTCACTAAGTGCATAAATGTGGGGGCGCACAAAAAATGGAAATAGAAAAGTAGAAGACATGTCACTAAGAGTTACCAATCGAACTTATCCGAACGCAGTGCCTGATAAAAAAGGTAAGTCTACATTCCATAGGTTGTACCTATTCACTGTACTTGCGCTTATGATATCTTCGGTAAGAAAATGACTAGTGTCATGCATCTAAAAATATTTACAAGCTATTATTGTAATTTTAGCCTGCATAGTAATTGTAGCACGATCATATTAACTTTATTTATTTAATATCAACAACCGCAGTGCAATACCTGTAGAAAATTTTATATGACGAGGTATCACTTCGTGCTCAGACGCGGTTTTGCTGTGCATGACTTACCACCATGAAATATTTGGCCGTCACTGCGTTCCTTTATGTTAAAATGACTATAACAGTGATGGTTCAGTGTAAAGTTAGTAACAGAGTTAACGTCGGCGCGTTATCGGCGCTTTTTCTCACTTCACCCATATAAATTCGAGCCTAAATACAAATACGCATATGTGATACCAATCTCTATAATATAGGGATGCAGTCGGCCTTAAAATGGCTTCTGTCCTAACTGTATGGCAACATTTAGCTCGTAAAAAGTAAAAACTACGGAAAATTGTTCTTACAGATGACTACATTTAAATAACTGTGCATACTCGTACCACTGAACTGTTGTAGCAATACCACCTAGAAGACAAGGCCTGCGCGTTTCCTCTTCTAAACGTCATCACTAGTCAGGGTGGCCAGTTCCGCTTATTATAAGCGGATTTCGGCTTCTTTTTTCACCGAGTCGCTGGTAGATTTTTCCAGTCGCTTGTCGCGTTTTTTGAGCTTATTCGCGTTTTTCCCGCAAATATTGTTATTTTATTGCTCGTCATGCTCATTGACATCGCGTTTGTCATTAAAACGCGAATAACAGCATGACCGTTTGGCGCCGCGGTTAGGTGGCGCAAGCAACCGTCCGTCGGAAAGTACAAAACAATTACTACCCATTCACAAATGTTTTGACGCCTTGTCCATCTTGCCATTGTATTTTGCGCAAACTGGCTTCGGAGTTGTCGAAGTATGTCAAAACATATTGTAAAGAGTGGGAAAAGGAAACACAGCTTAAGGACTGAGTGCGACCAGTCACTGGAGACGTTAAAAAGCAACGTGCAAGTGCGAGACTCGCGCTCATCTTGCCAACCTCGTTCAGCACATGGCAACAGAAAAACATGTGAGGAACTCTCGGCCACTTTCCAGCGCACGTTTGACTACCATGGGCTTCACCAAGTCGTGCCTCCAAGAACGATACTAGAACTGGAGCTCAAGCTGGCATGTTATAGGGAGGCTCAATAGCATGTCACTCAGCGTGCCATGCCACGGCAGATAGTGGCATGGCACGTTGACTCGGTATTTGGGCGAGTTTGCCCTCGTATTTGAGTCAGTTCTTTTTCTCATTTTATTATTAATAAACTATTTTCAAGAATGCGTACATTTATTGAACTTCCCTTTGTTTTGGGCTTCTTCACCAAGGTCACGCCGCTTTTTTTTTGGGGCTTGGTTGGGGACGACTATTTGTTTTTTCGCTCGGCCGCATCTGGCCACCCTGTCACTAGTAGATCCCCAGGCGCCCCCTAGCTAGCCCGGATGAGCACCATCGTTTTCTACTGGGTGTTCCAAGGAGCGGCCAGGCTCTTTAAATCGACTGCAAAATTCGGTTTCTTAACCTATCGAGCTACAACTTTGTGCAGCGTTGCCCACAGATGGTGCATTTTTTTTTTTTTTTTGTAAAATTTGCAAATGACGAATTTACCCGAGGAAAAGGTAAAGAAAGGAAAAGGCTTAGCTCCAATGGAAACGCAGCGAAGCCACCGGTTTTCAAACAATACGGCACCGTTTCGCACGGGAGACAAGAGACGGCGCAAGCGATTGCGACGCCAACTGCGCCAACGAACGAGCCAACGTTACTAAAAACACTCAGTTGGGAAACTCCCATAGAGACAGCTTTGAAAAAGTAGACCCAATCTGTCTCCGAGCACCGAGCTAATGACGAAGACAACGCCACCATTTCTTCCGCAGCGGCCACTCGAGGAATTGCACGTGGCTTCTATTTCGGCTTTAAAGGGGGACCAGCAGAAATATTCTTCCGCCTGGCGGAAAGTCCTCCTCGCCCTCTTTCTTCTTGTATTGTAGCACGGCGAGGCGAAGGGAAAAGTCCCCTTTTGCGCCGGCTTCTTCTGAGAGGATAAGCCGAGAAAATCCCCTTTCTGAGCGACGGACGATGGGTGCGGCAGCAGCGACCTCGTGACTTACGGGTATCTTCAGCTCCTATTATGTAATCTGCTTTATTTTTTGGCTCTCGCCAAGCCTAGCACCTCAGGTGTACGTTTCACGGAGCTGCAAGGCTGCGCCCTCGCAGTCACCGAATTTGAGCTGTCGAAGTTCTTTAGTTTAGCCCGTGGCAAAATGAACGCATACTTGGGAGCTGCGATGCATCCCCGCACCCATTGAAGGAACGTTTCATAGATATGTTCGGTTGATCAAGGAGCTCAAAACACACGCGCGAAATGTGGTGACTTGAATATGTAAGGATGACTTACATCTTCACAAAACATTCCACCTTCAAAAAAACGGCTTATCACGCTCAAACCTGCCTCAGATTGGGATCGAAGAAAAAGAAAACGATATACCGGAGCGCGGGCATCTTGTAGAAGGTCTCTGTTTTCTAGCAGCGAGCACAAATTATTGTGTGCGTATCTCACTCTACATGATGGCCAACGAATGTAGATGACATTTATTACGCAACCCAACAACCACATGAGGTGAGAAGGCAGCAATGGTGTGTGTCGATACTAAGAAGTTTTAGTGGATCGTTTTTAGTTCTTGGATAACCGTACCCTACAACAATATATAAGCTATAACCTTTCTGAGAGCATTCTTTATTGAGTGCGGCTATCGAAGCGTGTCGTGTTATAATTCAACGTTGCTCAAATCGGTGCTATAGCACATGCTGCCCCTTTGAAGTAGTTTTGAAGCATTAAAAAATAAAAAAATAAAAATGTAGCCGATCTTTTTTTGACATGAAACGCGTTTGTAATTTGTCATTGCAAAGACATATTAGGTATACTGCCACACAGTTCCCTTACAAAAACGGGTCTCAACATTCTTTTTAATTTTTTTAGACTTCTTATTGACTTTCCGCGATCCTACTGAATTTCTATAGAAACGCACTTTGTTTTGACTATTGTCAAAAAACTTTCAAAAGAAAAAATATTGAATTTTTTTGTAGACTTATTTATAAAAAAATTAAAAAGAACTTGTAAAGACGCTTTTCTATAGGATATTTTCTAAAAAAATTCAAAAGGAAAAACAATAAATTTTGTTTTGTGGACTTATTTATAAAAAAATTAAAAAGAACTTGTAAAGACGTTTTTCTGTAGATTATTTTCTAAAAAAATTCAAAAGGGAAAACAATAGATTTTGTTTTGTAGACGTATTTATAAAAAAATAAAAAGAAGTTGTAACAACGTTTTTGTAGGTTATTTTCTAAAAAATAAAACTAAAAAATATTGACATTATTTCTTTATAATATTTTATAAAAAGAGACATTTTTTTATTATTTTATTTGGTCTGCGGTTGTGTGCGGGGTCCGATATGACGGATCTTTTTTTTACTTTTTATTGAAAATGTGTTCACTTCTTGTTCACTTTGATTACTTTATTTCGACTGACCTCCTGTTGACATGGTCAACAAAAAATTTGTTGGTTTTGTGTTGAAACTTTTTTTATGATTTTCTATTGACTTTCTATTAACTCTACGTTGGATCTTTTTTCCGTTGACTTCCTGTTGAAAGTGTTATCAGAAATACTGCAGACGTTCTATTTACTTCGTGTTTAAATTATTCAGTTGACTTTCTGTAGCCAGTGTCAAAAGAAAAGCTACAGACTTTCTGTTGACTTTTTATTGAACATAATACATCTTGACTAAATGTCAAAAGTCACTAAGTTTCTTAATAGTCTCTGACAAGTTGAGAACCATAGGGAGGAGCTTCCGTTCTCCTGCCTCCAGCGCGAGCCTTCTATCCTTGACAACTCTTCGACGTCTCGCGCCCCTCGAGCTCGACTGCGCAGTCAAAGCACGACGGAAGGCATGGGGCGCGTGCTGGAGGGCAGGCGTTCGAAAAACACGCCCTGCAGTTCTCACTTTGTAAATGGCAATCGTTGCATTATTGACCCTATTCAACTAGTAAAGAAGAGCAAAATAACTATATTAAAGTGGAGCAACCGCCTTGACTGGTTTCGTCCCGAGTGGTGCTATGCAGAGGAGCGATAAACATTTGTTCTATGAGCCGTTTTTGTGGATGTTGTTTTAGCGACTACACAAAATTATTATTAGTTGTATCAATGCTTTTTAGTAAGAGATAGAGTCCACGATCTTCGAAACACTGTCTTTCCTTTGACAGACTTTCGAGAAGGAGACGGGAGACTTGGAAGCTTAGTAAGTGCTGAGGTGGTCACCGGCCAAATGATTACCTTCAA